TGGACCTCACCACATGGAATAATGCATAAAAATCAAATCAACTTTGTCTGTGCAAAGAGAAGATGGAGAAGATTGATTTCATCAGTCAGAACAAGGCCAGGTACCAGCCACTGAATAGATCATCAATTGCTAATATGCAAGTAAAGTCGAAGCTGAAGAAAAGTAAAATCCACTTGAATTTAGAGATAATCTCAAGAACAGATTTATCACATAGAACTCTAGCAACTGAATACAAGGTGTGTTATGGGATAACATCAAAGACATCATAAATGAAGAAAGCAAAAGGTGTTTAGAAGATAGAAAAGAAAAAACACCAAAATGGATTTCAGAAGAGACTCTGCAATTTCCTTTTCAATATAGAATAAAGTGAATGGAAGAAATGATTAAATAAAAGAGCTGAACAGAAGACTAAGTAAAATATTATGATGGAAAATGTAATGAGCAGTTGAGCTCATTCCCATGATGATGAAACTTAGCACAGGCATGGTTAACTCTATGATGAATGACTATAAGCAGTCAATCAATTAAGGTGATGCTTCCTCCCAATATAATAGACACGTGAGAAAGGCTCTCCTTCTCCTGCTGGGGATCTGGTATTCTACAATTGTGAGCCATATCCTTGACAATAAACTTCTCATCATAGATACATATGGTGGTGGGGTACTATGGAGTTGTTCTGACTCATAGGGTTTCTGAGGCTGTAAATATTTACAGAAGCAGAAACCCTCATCTTTTCATCTTCTTCCGTGGAACCATTGGTAATTTCAAACTGCTGACCTTGAGATTAGCAGCCATACTTGTAACCACTATGTTACCAGAGCTCTCTCTCTCTATAAATCTATTTCACTGGATTTTCTTCTCTATAAAACCCATCCTAACTAAGACCTGCAATACCAAGAGAGTGGGGTTCTAGAGAAACAAAATCATAAGGATGAGTTTTCTAAATTGGTTCTCAAGTCTGACTGAGTTTAAAGACACTGATATAGGATAGAGTCATATCTGACCTCCACTTCATAGGAATTGGGCATGGGCTGATTTTGAGTGTTGTCTTCTTTTCCCCTTGGGAAGTCAGACATGGGCTGCACATGGTTTTTGCAGTTGGTGTCAGGAGTGGGATTCATGGCAATAGCTCCAGATTCACGAGGTTTTATAAGAGAAAGAACAAAGAGGAATGGAATAAAATACTTAAGCGAGGAAAGCAGAGGCTTCTGAAGGTGCTTAGAAACAATGACATGTTGGTTAAATAGGAGGGTTGATATAGGTCCTGGGTCTACTGGAATCCAGCCTGCCAGAGGCCCAAGACCATATACATATGAATGAGGTTAATCCAAGGAAGGGAGAAAAGATTGAAGTTGAATGCTTTTAAAAGGTTTATGTGCTTGACTGCCTTATGGGTATTGGTTTCTCCTGCCTATTATTGTAAAATAGACTTACATGTGTGATAGAATATTAAGAGTAACATTTACAGAAAACCTGTAAGCTATCATCAGCCTATAGTTGATTGGATTTGCTCAAATTAGAGTTGGAAGTTGCTTCAAAAAAACCAGGCTTCTTGGTTCAGAGTTGGTACATTTGCATTTGAAAAGACATGCACACTGACCCAGAACTGCTGGGAAAACATGAGATTCATGCAGGAAAAAAGCAGGCCTTTTGGCATTTTGAGTTTTGATGACATCGAAGACAAGTAAGCCAACCCATCAGAGAAAATCCCTCTTCTAGGACTGCAAGTTAAAGGGAACCAGAGCCATATGCTCCCTGGTGACAACCTGGGTCTACATGTGAGTGGAAATGGGGGGAAATGTAGCAATGAAGACACAGTCTGAGAATGGAAGATTCTTCAGATCAAAGAACATGATTGTCCTTATTGTATTGGGTTGAGGTTGTTGTTGTTAAGTGCTGTTAAGTCAGTTCTGACTCATAACGACCCTATGTAGGGTTTCCAAGGAGTGGCTGCTGAGCTTTTACTGCTGACCATGTGGTTCAAACCAACTTTACAGTCCAGCAGTTAACCCACAGCACCACACCAGGGCTGAGTTTGGACATGTTCTATTGGCATCATTAACACTGAGATGAGGTAAGAGGAAGGGTTGGCTGGTCTGAAATTTAGAGAGTCAGTGAATTCCCAAGCCTACCGGGGCTAGGGCTGAAAGTGCAGGGGCCAGCTAGTTTGAAGCAGAGGGAGGTGTGTGTGAAGTATCTAACTTGGAGGTAGTACCCATTTGACCTAGCTTGGATGACTAGGCCTTAGCTGACTAGAACCTGACCAGGTGACAGTAAAGATGTTTGATTCTGTAATTGTCAATTTCTACAATGTCATGAACTGGACTTTTGCTTATGGATACAGTAGCTCAAAATTCCAGCCAGAATGGAAGATTCTTCAGATTGAGAAACATATATGTCCTTATTGTACTGGGTTGGTGTTGTTGCTGTTAAGTGCTATCGAGTCAGTTCCAGCTCAAAGAGACTTTGTATAGGGTTTCTGAGGGGGTAGCTGGTGGGTTTAATCTGCTGACCTTGTGGTTCTCAGTCCAGTGCTGACCCTACAGTGCCACACCAACAGTCCTTTTGTCCATTAGTAGCTGTGTCTGCTGGATCTTGGCTGAGAGTATAGTATTCCATAAAGATGTTAACCAGTGTGTTATTGACTATGTAAAGCCATCCAACTATGTGGATCATAACAAATTATGGATAACATTGCAAATAATGGAAATTGCACAATGCTTAATTTTGCTCTTGTGGAATTTAAACATAGACATTTGTTTAAACAGAATGAGGGAGTACTTAGTGGGGTAAATGCAGGAAAGGTGTATATCAGCATTGTTTCCTTTCACCCTACTTATTCAATCTATATTAATTAATTGCAGAAGTTGGAATATATGATAAAGAATGCAAATGCAGTATCGGGATTGAAAGAAGACTCATTAACAACCTGTGATATGCAGAAGACATATTCTTGTTTGCTGATAGCTAAGATGATTTGTAGCTGTTACTGATGAAGATCAAAAACTACAAACTTTAGTATGGATTACATTTTGCTTTTTGCAAGAAAGCAAAAATCCTCACAACTAGATCAATAAGCAACATCATGATAAACTAAAAAAAGATTGAGATTGCCAAGGAATTAATTTGGCTCGGATCCACACTCAACTTCCATTGAAGCAGCAGTGAAGAAATCAAATGACATATTACATTGGGTATTTCTGTCCCAAAAGACCTCTTTAAAGTGTTTAAAAGGTCAGGTTATCACTTTGAGGACTAACATACCCCTCATCCAAACCATAGTAGTTTATCACTTCATATGCATGTAAATGCTATACACTGAGTAAGGGAGACTGAAGACTAAGTGATGTTTTTGCATTGTGGTATAGGTGAAGAATATTGAATATACCATGAACTACCAGAAGAATAAATAAACTTATCTTGGAAAAAGTACAAACAGAATACTCCTTAAAAGGAAGGATGATGAAACTTCAGCTTACATATTTTAGGCATGCTATCAGGAGAAACCAGTCTCTGGAGAAGGATATCTTGCTTGGAGAAATAGAGGGTGAGCAAAGGAAAAAAAACAACAACAAGCAAGCCTCTCAATGAGATGGATTAACAGTGTTGCTGCAATAATGGATTTCAACAGCAATGATTATGAGGATGGCGCAGGATCAAGCAGTGCTTTAATGTTTCATACATAGAGTTGCTTTGGATTAGTATTGACTTCATGGGACCACCAGCAATAAAACATGGCTATTTCAAATTCTATGGTAACTTTGTGATATTTCTTCTGCAAATACTTCTTCTTGGAGTATGCATAGAGTTAATGTCAAAATTGTTCCTTTCCATGAAATATGCTCAGATCATAACAGCTGGCTAACAGTAATGAGACCTTATCTAGGATGACAAATTAATACTAGGTGTCCTTAACTTTCCATACACTCCAAGTTGGCCCCTCACAAATTAACCCCTGTAAAACAATTTACTCTTGAAAACATAATTAAAGAATTATCTCAAATTCAATTGGAAATTTGGGGAGATTTCAGTTGAACACACAAATCCCATTGGCTCTTATATGACTTTTGAATGTTGATATACCAATTGACAGTAACTGAACACAAAATAAACAACCCAGATGAATACTGAAAGCAGTGATGGTGTAAAGTACTCTAGGCATGACCTTTTATTGCTAGCTCTTCTGCTTGGCCCAGTTGGACCACATACTATGTGATTATTGGAAGTGCTTATTGTGTTGTTTATCTTGACATTCTGCTATCCTTTTAAAACTCAATAACCTCACCAAATATTAACACCTGTCTCCAGCAAGATACATCCCTTTCTACAACTGATTCCTACGGTAATATTCTATTTTTGAAACTGTATATATTTATCGGAGTCCTGGTGTAGCACTGTGGGTTAATGTGCTGGACTGCAAAGGCAGTTTGAACTGCAAGGTCAGCAGCTGCTCCTAGGAAACCCTATACAGGGTCACTATGGGTTGGTACTGACTGGACAGCACTTAACAGCAACAACAACAACATATATTTATTGGAAATGTAATGTGTATTTTAATATGGAATTTATTTAATTGTTATTTTAAAATGTGTTATTGCTGTTATTAGTGTTCTGGTCACTAAATTGCATATACTTCAAATTGCTTGTTCTAACCCTATTGTCTTTCTACATGCCCTATTATTTTTAGAGTGTAACTTTATAGAATGTTAAGTTTTTCAGGAATGCACATATCCTATGTAATATACAGTAGTATGCAGAATAATGCCACCCCAAAATATATCCATGCCCTAATCCTTAGAATCTATAAAACCTACAAGCCAAAGGACCTTGAGGACAGTATTCTATATTACCTGGGCGAGTCCAATCTACTAATTATATGAGTCCTTAAAAGTGGATGATGAAGGCGAGCGAGACAAACTCAACCCATCATTTCTAGTTTTGAAAACAGAGAACGGTGGCAAAAGCCAAGAAACGTAAGCAGCATCTAGAAATTATAAAATTTAGAGGCAATTCTCCTCTAAAGCCTCAAAAGGAACACAGAGTTGCCGACAGTTTGATTTGAGCTCAGTAGAACCCATGAGAGAATTCTGACCTACAAAATTATAAGACAGTATGTTTATGTTGTTTAAGCCAACAAATGGTAATTTACTATAGTGCCTGGTGTGGCACTGTAAGGTAAGCACTGGACTACTAACTACAAGGTCAGTGGTTCAAACCCACCAACTGCTCCTCAGAAACCCTATATAGAGTTGCTATGAATAGGAACTGACTCAAAATCACTTAATAACATTACAGAAGCAATAAAAAAAAATGAATAAATAATATCTGAAATTTACTGCTTTTATTAATAATATTAGCATTTTTCTGGTGTGGTGTTGTAGAGTAAATACAGGACTGCAAACTGTAAGGACATTAGTATATGGTCCTCAGAAACCCTATACAGGTCTTCTATGAGTCGGGACCTACTGGACTGCACTTAACAACAGTAAGAACAACAATGATATTACATAATCATCTCCAAAAAACTGTATGTTAGAGTGACTTTTGTAAATTTAATAGGAGACAAGTTTAGCTTTAGTGTTAGTATGGACTGCTCACTGCAAGGTCAGCAATTCAAACCCACCAACACTCTCAGAATCCCTATACAGGCTCCCTATGAGTCCCATAGCCTTCAGTGCGGGTTGCACTTCAACACAAAGGAAACACAAATCCTCACCACTGGACCAATAATCAACTTCCATATAAATGAAGAAAAGATTGAAGTTGTCAAGGAATTCATTTTGCTTGGATCAACCCTCAACACTCCTGGCAGCACCAGTCAAGAAATTAAATGACATATTGCATAGGTCACATTTGCTGCACAAGACCTCTTTAAAGTGTTGAGGAACAAAGATGTCTGATGTTTGAGGACTAAAGTGCACCGGACCCAAGTCACGGTAGTTTCAATAACCTCATATGCATGAGAAAGTTGGACAGTGAATAAGGAAGACCATAGAAGAACTGATGCATTCGAGTTATGATGTTGGAGGAGAATATTGACAGTACCATGGACTGTCAAAAGAACAAACAGATCTGTGTTGGATGGCCAAACTTGGTCTCATATGTCAGCTATATTGTCAGGAGGGACCAATCTCTGGAGAAGGATATCATGTTTGGTAAAGTGAAGGAGAGTCAGAGAAAAAGTGGAAGACCCCCAGTAAGATGGATTGGCACAGTAGCAGAATCAATCGGCTCAAACATAGCAATGATTGTGAGGTTGGCTCAGGACCAGGCAGTGTTTTGTTCTCT